ACAGTTGATTTGAAATATGGCTCTCAGTGATGATGTCGCCGTGTGATATCTCATATCTAAAATGCATGCTAAATTCGTCAAAGACAGGTCAGCAGCGGCCACTGGGAACTGGAGGTTAAGCTGCTATCTGAGATGCCCAACTCCCACACCGGAATCTTTGGCTTAGAGTACCAGGTCTGTTCTCTGGTGCATTCCTGCTGAAGAACACCTTGGCAGAGAGCAAGTGGTGGCTTAAGAACTTGGGTTGCTTTAACTACGTGGGAGGCTTCCACTGAGCTTCTGGTTTCTGACGTCAGCCTGGGCCATCCCTGGCAGTTATGGGCACTTGGAGAATGAAACGGTGGATGTGCTCTTGCTCCCTCTGTCTAAATGAGGAAGGAAAGTGCGATAGGGAGCATTTGCAAATAACTATTTTCATGAATATCTAAGCAGATGGATTTAATCTTAAGTACACATTTGTTTATTTCCTCAATCTTTCTCATATTTTACATCTGGAAAAAATAACAGATTTTTTTTTTGAAGAAAATGAAGAGATTAAATCCTTTTGTATAAATAAACAATGTGGCCCAGCACGGGATTCTAGTGGCTAAAGACCTCCCCTTGCATGTGCCGGGATCCCATAGGGGCACCTGTGTGTACAGTGGCTGCTCCGATTCCCTTCCAGTTCCCTGCTTGTGGCCTCAGAGAGCAGCAGAGAATAACACAAAACCATGGGAACCTGCCCCAAGTGGACACCTGGGAGACCTGGGAGAAGCCCGAGGCTCCCGGCTTTGGGTGACTATTGTGGCCACTTGGGGAGGCAATCATAGGACTGAAGATCTTTCCCTCTGTCTCTCCTCTCCGTAAATCTGAATTGCAAATAAAAACAAATAAATTAAAAAAAAATTACGAGAGACTTGAAAGGCTTGAACAGTAGGTTGGACTTGAACGTAAAAGTAGAGAAGTGATAATAGGATTAAATGCATTGGAGGGTTACACTTTTCATTATGCTTAGATATTTAACACATTAAATTCTCACAAATATTATGAGTCCCATTTTACACTGAGTCTCTTAGAATTACCAACTTGCTCACAATGCCAATATTGGTTTCTTCCATTGTACGTGCTGCGCTCAGGGACAATCCAGTGTCCCGGCTGCACTCCGTGGAGGGCTGAGTGACAATTCTAACCCTGTTGGCTGTGAGAGTTACTCAACTTCTGTTTCTTAAGTTCTCTTATCAGGGGGATAATAACATTATTTCTTTAAAAAGCTTTTAAGAGAATTAAATGAGTCCCAGGAGTTAAGTGCTTGGCACAGTACAAGTCATGCCTACGTGCTCAGTAGGAGTAACCTTTGTAAAGAAAAGGGGCGAGAGTGGAGAAGAGATGAGCAGGTGGAGATGAAGGTGATCTCCACTCTTCCAAATGGTCTTTCGCACAAGTGGAGTGCCAGGGATGCTATCTGAAAGTTATTTGCTTGCTGTGTGAGCACAAGGGACGGGAGCAGCAAAGGCATAAAGACGGCAAAGACACAGCACTGTCTGCTGCTTTACTAAAAATGTAGGAAGCACGAGTGGGAGTCAGTCATTTTGGCATAATTCCGATCTCGAGGAAAAGCAAGAATACGTAGCCTTGGCAATAAACAGATTATCATATCTTTATTCTAAGGAAGTGAATTTCCCTGGGCATCAGATTTCTCACTGTGAAGGGTGCTAAATAAATAATGAATTTCCTATAAATATAAGCTAGCTGGTTTCCACTTATCCACCATGTACTTCTTAAGTTCTTTACATTTCAATTATGCCTAATGTTAAAAAATAATAGAAGAATTCCAACTCAGAGTTGCTATGTCCATAGGGCACATATAGTAGGTATTGGGCATGGTGGTTAATGAGCAAGTAATAAAAGGTGGTTTTTGCCATATTTCTTCAAATGTGCATTATTTTCCTGTATTTCTAAGACTCATAAAACCAGAATGCATCTTATAATTGATGCACATAGAAGACCAGGAGCACCGAGTTATTTCTCAGAGCTATTTTCAAATCATTTTCCCTTGTGGCTGACAACCTTGTTTTTCTTTAGTGAATACTAACCCCAAGATTGCACAGATATTACATTTGCTAACTGTACCTTCCAATTATCAAATAATAACTAATAAAGTTTGTAGGCAGTAAATAACTCAATATGAATATACTAACTATTGTTACAAAGAGGCACAGCATCTCAATTAGTTTATAAAATCTACCATGAGGAATAACTTGAGAAAGCAATTTCCTCATCTTGAGGACATACCATAACTGGTGCCAGAATTTTTAAAATTGATAGCCTACTTTGGTCAGAGGGCATTTTAAAATGGCTTACAAAGATGAACATAACTAAGAAATATGTGAGAACTCGGGGTGGTGGGGGTTGGGGAACAAGTGTGGACTAACAACCACATCTGTAAAATGTCTGCTTCAACCCTTACAAGAATTTCTAAGGAAAACAGAATCTTGGAGTTTGAAAAAAAAAAAATATGACACAAAGGGAGTGATTTTGGTGACAGCAGGGATGGATTTGGAAGATGTGGAGTTTGATGGTCTGTGTAGGAGGTCCGGGCTTTTGCTGCTTTTGCCCTGGGTTAGGGTGGCGCCTTCCGGTGGGCAGGCAGCCTGGCTGGAGGTGATGGTGCCAAGGCTGCCAAAGGCCAGGGCTCCTGGGAAGCCACCCACACACCAGACTTCACCAATTATCTCATTTTCATAATAAGGCCCGCACCTAATTGCTCCATTTCCATCAACAGGTAGAGGGGAAAGATACGTGTATTTCACCTTTTAAGGAAGGCAAGTTCAAGTGCAGTCATTGGAGACCTGCATAAAGCAAGGATCTGGCCTAGGAACTCTTTTTTTTTTTTTTAACATCTATTGGGTTGTATTGATTCTTAGATCTTGCAGGTCCCCCAAGGGTTTTGAGGAGACTCCTGGTTCCTTCTGCCTCCTCCTGAGCAGAGCATTTCCAGCCTAGGAATTGTGAGGCCTCAACCGCCTCAAGGTGCAAGCATCCAGGTTCCCCCTCGGACACTCCCTCCCTCCCCCGCCCAGAGGAAGAAGATAAGAAAGGTGAAAGTCTAATTACAACTGAGAGGCTGTGTTAGTCAGGGAAGAAGAAATAAACTGCAGTTCACACACCGTCCCCCCTTCAACCCTGGCTATGTGGTCCAAAGCTGAACTCTCATACCTCCTGCAACTGGAAAACAGGGATATCAACGTCTTCCTCACAGGGCTGCCAGGAGGCAGGGCCTCATATAATGGACTCAAGTCACTCACCGTGCGTTGTTCTTTAAGTACACAGATTCCCCCGGTGCACTGAATGCAAATCCAGGAAAGCTGCCCGGGGGAACTGGCGTCCTAGATGAGTCGTGAAGTTTGGGAAACGCTGAGGTATCAGGGAAAGTACGTGGTAGTTCAGGAGTAATAAACAGGGGTGCTGAAGTTCCAGCCATCTGACAGTCTCCCCATTAACGCGCATGAAGCTACTGGTCAGAGGGGGCTGGGAAAGGGTCCCCGGCATCTCCCTCCCAGGAGGCTGGGTCAGGCTCCGGCCACCGATGGCGCTCTCCACGCGCCTCCGGGCCGAGGTGAGCCAGGTGGCCCGGGTGCCAGGCGCGGCCAAGTCGCGGCTCACTGACTCAGTCGCCCAACTATGCTGCGGAACCAGGGCTGCCGGCTCGGCCGCCCCCGCCACTGAGCTCCGGCTGCCCCCGCGCCTCGCGCCGGCTCTCCGCCCCCGCCAGCCCTGAGGAAGCGGCCGAGGCGCGGCGCTGTGAGGCGCGGGGGTACCTGGGCAGGGCGCCGGCTGGCGCAGCGCTTCCGGAGCTGCGCGCGGGTTCGCGGCCCGCGCTCCCCGCCTCCCGGTGCGGCGGGCGGCCGGCGAAACAGCGCCGCCCGCGCGGCCGCCTCCCGGCAGCAGACGCGGCTGCGGGCCTCCGACGGGCACCGCGAACGAGGAGGCCCCCGCTCCGGGCTGGAGGGGACACACGGAGGCGAGGAGCCAGAGGCCCGCGACGGCCCCGGGAGGCAGAGACGCCAAACGCTGGGTGCTCCCCAAGCCGAGCTCGGCGGCCGCGCGCCAGGCGAGTACCCGGGGCCACGGGTGGGCAGGGCCGGCGTGGACGGGGCCCCGGGGTGAGAGGACCCTGTCGGGATGGGCTGGGGCTTTTCTGTACTTCTCCGGGTAAATTTCCGCTCTTGTTTCTGCCCCTTGGATTTCGCTCGCGCGTGTGGGCGGCTAAAAGGAAACCATAAGCGAGTAAGCGATTGAGAAACTCCTCTCACTTCTAAGATTTGACATAACAGGGGTGACCACCGGCCCAACAACCAGACCCCCGCACCCCCGGAATTAATCTCCACCCTTCGTCCCCACCTCCTCAGGAATAAAGGAGCTGTAGCGAGTTCCAGGCACCAACTTATTTACTTGGTGGAGATAATGAGTTCGCTTTGGTCTCAGTGCACCCTGCACTCTGCTTGTTATGCACTTTAAAACGACAGGCCTGTTAATTAACTTTAATTACAGCCATTTGGCCTCCACCTGCCCGAACCCTACACCATCCGCAGGAACCTGTCGGCAGTGAATGAACTGATCTTTCTCCTTCACTTTGAGAGATGGTTCACTTTGGAAAATTTGGTATCCATCTTACTTAGTGAAGTAAGTCTTATTTTATTTGATTTTGGCCAATTCTCTTATTAGGCACTCCTCTCACCTCCTTGGGGAGGTACTGGGTGGTTTTGGGAAGAAGGCTCCATCATGTCAGGTGGTGTACTTTAAGCTTTGATAGCTGGAGAAAAAAAGACAAGGGAATGCAAAGCTCTGAGGGGTTACTGACAGCTCAAGGTGTTGCAAGTTTGTATGGTGGTAGCAAATTTTTTTTTTTTTAATTTTTGATCAACTTTGTCCTTGAAACAGGCTACTCAGTGGAATATATCCTTTGGGTTTAAAAAAAGTGTATTGAAAATCAGCTATTTTTAAAAGTACATTTAATTGGCTGTCATTGTTATGACCAATAATAGTGTTGTACTTACAAGCTCCGTATTGATTCCTCTGCACTTAAGCCCTGTGCACCCGGAATTTATGGAACATTGCCCACAAGTGATTGCAAAATGAAGTTACGGGCTTTTGTTTGTTTTTGTTTGTTTGTTTGTTTTCAAATAAACTGTTTTCAGTAGAGAAGAAAAATAAGTTCCACCAAGTTTTTATTCATGATTTTCCTTCACCTCACAAGAGCGATGAAGTAGGTCATGGAACTAGGCTAGAATCTAAACTGGAAATCTTTCCCTGGCTGCTCATCGTGCAACTATTTAATACACACGTACTTACACAGGTGCCCTGCCAAGAGGGGCTTATAGAGTCAGAGTTTGCAGGCACCAAAGATTTTAAATTAAAACGCACCTAGAGGGTAAGTGCAACGGCTTGTTAACACTTACTTATGTGGGTGTACTTGTGTTTGTGTTGTTCGCTTCCTCTGTAAGCTTGTCAGGTTTTATAGGGGTTGTCTGTGGAAACAGAAACCGATGATACATTTAAAAATGATTTCTTTTTCTGATGTCACTACCAGTTGCCGGCCTCGTGAGTCTCATGGGTGTTCAGTGAATGGTTTTCCGATTCAGTTTCTTGCCTACTGTGGTTCATTGGAAAACCCGGGGTCTACACATTGCAGTTTTCTTAGGAACTTTGTGTTATCACATTGAAACTGTGACGTTTTAAAACCTGCTTGGGATTCTGGGTTACGGCCTTTATGATATCAGAGAAGGAAGTTTTGCTCCTAAAGCCACCTCCTTCAACTCTTGACAGTTTGATGAGAGTACGTATAAAATTGCAGCTGTATGCTCATTCACTTAACAGCTGTCTTTTAATGTCCCCCATTTATTAATTGAGTCATCTATAGAGTGACTGACCTTTGCATACTAAACTATAGGGGTTTTTGTAATGCTTCATAAAATATGAATTAGATGGAGAAATTCTTAATGGTTTTGGACTTACATCTTGGTGTTGATAATTTCTGAGATGTCATTTTGACTTTTTGTTGTGTAATCTGGACAGTGTGGTTTATCACTTAAGTTGTGTTTCTAAAGTAATGTCTGGATTTAAATAATGATGCTTAAGCCATTTTGCTTGATTATTTCTATTCTCCATTGAAATCATACACATGACCCTTTTTTAGTTAGACATTTGGCTTGTGAAATTTTCTTAGTTGTGACCTAGCATTAGCTGGTATGACCCCTCCTTTGCAGGGGTGGGGATGGGGCACCGAGAAATCTGGATAGGGTAGTCATTTTTTTTTTTTTTTTTTTTTGACTAGGGGAAGAGGTGGGAAGAAGCATTTTTCCATCTTATTCCAGTTATATACAGATATGGGCAGGTAGACTGCTGGTTTTAGTACTTAGCGTCTGGGGCAGGAGAGAATAGTTTGTTCGGAGGCAGAGATGATCAGGACGAGCAGGAGCGTGGTTTCCATGATGTCGTCAGGCTCTTCAGAGTGGTGATGGTGAGAGGGCGTGTAGAGACTCACAGGAGCTGTAGTGCCTGGAAGCACTGGTTACTTAGTCTGCCACTGAAGGCCTTGCCAGCCAATGGCAGCCTGTCATTCTGGCATTGTTTATCTGGAGCCCTAAGTCCAACTTGGGTACTCTGCTTCCATGTCCCCTTGATGGTGTTCGTTCAGCTTGAGTGTTGCTGCCTCCACCTGCTACAGCTCACCCTTCCCAAAACCCTTCTTGGAGGAGCACCTACACTGGTCCCTACATTGCAAAGCTGGTTTTCAGTGTATTCATGGAGCTGATTTGAGATTTCTGGCATTTCTACATATCCATGAAGAATGATGGGGGTAATGTAACCTGTAGAATTAAATAAAAGCAATATTAAGAATGCAAAATGTGTGCAATATAGAGCACAAAAATATTTTTTTCACCAATTTTTTTCACTAGTAGGACTGATGGCTGATAGGCATGTCTTTTTTTTTTTTTTTTTTTTTTTTTGCTTTTACTCATGTGTAATCTGCCTCTTTTAAATCCTTGCAAGAAGACATTGGATCTTCCTTTTCTTTGTAGGCCTTAGCTCCATTCTCAAATCAGATAATAGATTCTGTTATCTTGAATTACAAACGTTTCCTACTGTTATTTTGGAGAGAATAGCACTCCTTAAATATTTATTGAAAGAACAGATGTAAATAAAGGGTCCAGTTCTTCAGGTGGTATTTGTTAAGATAACTTCTTCTCGTAAGAAAAACAGACCTTGACAATTACTGAGCCAATAGGAATAAGTCCTCAAATTCAGTTGGAAAAGAGGTCAGAGTGCTATTTATAAATGCAGAGAGGAAGTGTTCACAGTAGGCTATTTTGAAACATCTGGTTGTTAGTCTAAAACTGTGAGTCTTAGATACAAAGAAATAGTGGAGTATACATTTATGCTAAGATTTTAAAATTGGAATATTTGTGTGTGTGTACCTATTGTACATTTAAAGAAACCCTTTATGCTGATAGGTAATTCTCTCGTTTTGACTAGAATAAATACAAGCTTTTGTTTAGCATGGAAGATGCTTTGTGTAGGAGCCAAGAGAGTATGTGTGCTTGCTCAGGCCGGGTTTTCTTTCTTTCAGCTCTTAGGTTGTAGGTGTGGCTCTGTGGTGGAGAGGGAAGAGAGGACTGGCCCTTGTCAGATGCTGACAGGGGAATGCAGATGGGAGTCCTTGTTAGTGATGCAAACATCAGCTGATCATGTCTTTCCGCTAGCCCCACTTCTGTGCAGATTAGAAATTCAAGAGGATGAACTTTTTCTCCAGATCCCCAGAATTAGTGGCTCCACCTTAGTGATCTGTCCATCAGAATTTAGAGCAGGCCCCAAACCTTAAGTACTTTAAGATGGATAACTTGAAAACCAAAAGACTTACTGAAGTTAGGGAGAATGCTGAGCAGTGCTCTATGAAGATGCCATCGGAAACACTCCCACCTAAGTGTTAGATCAAGAGCAGGAGTGACCACTCTTGGCCTCACTGGATACAGGAATAGATCGTACCTTGTACACTTTGAGAGTTGTGTTTTCAGATTGCACAGTAAATGAAACTAATTGTTGCAGTATGCATCTCTCCTGTGGAATAGAAGGAGGGCTCACAATGAAACCATTAACTATATCTTGACAATAGGATACAAGTCATGGTATACTAAACAGAGTGTTGGACTTGTGACTGTTGTTGCCTTCTGTACTTCTGTGTTTATGTGAGGGAAAACAGCGGGGAGGGGGACTAGATATCGGAGAGGAAATTCCCTGTGCTTATGGGACCGTATCATGAGAAATAATAATTATAAAAAAGAAAAAGAACTATGGTTTCAAAAATGTGACTTAAAGCAACCCTTTCTCCTTGATGCAAGCCATGAAATGATTTTGTTATTTTCGGCTCAAACCTCGGTTGGTTATCCTCTACTCAGCAGGTAACTAATGAAATGTTATTGCTTGCCACGCACTGTTCTAAGATCGTTTTACATGGTCACTCGTTTCATTCTACAAAGACCCTTATTAGGTAAGCACTGTTATCATCTCTACTCGCAGAAAACAGTGCAAGGCTCAGGAAGAGACTTAGCCAAAACCCACACAAGGCAGCAAGCACATGGCAACTCGGGATCTGTGGTAATCACTGTGGCCTGTGGCCTAGGACATTAGACTTCAGTAGTTTCGGTAAAGCCATCATTCTCCAAATTCTAGCCTTAGTTGTATTAATAAAACTTAGTGTACTTCTATGTTAAATGGTTTGTGGGTTTATGAAAAGAATGATTTTATAGGAGGAATGTTATATCTCTCTTTTCAAAAAGATTTATTTATTTTATTTGAAATGATAGTTAAAGAGATGGAAAGACACAGAAATATTCCATCTGTTAGTTCACTCTCCACATGGCTGCAATGGCTAAAGCAGGGTCAGGCTGAAGCCAGGAGCTAGGAGCTGGAGCTAGTAGGTCTCCCACATGGGTACAGGGGTCCAAGCACTTGGACCATCCTACATTGCTTTCCCATTTATGTTGGCAGGGAGCTGGACTGGAAGTGGAGCAGCCAGTACACAGATTTGCTACCATAAAGGATGCTAATTATACAGGTTAGAGGCTTAAGGGGCTATGCCACAGTACCAGCCCTGAAATGTTACAGTTCTGTGCAAATAGTGCTGTTCAAACCAAGTGTATGACAAAGTATAGATATGACCAAGTGTAATATTATAAATAAGAGATGAATTTATCATAATTGAATTGAATTGTATACTTGCAAGTCATGTAGCATACTGTTTTATAAGCCTTATGTATTTCACTTGATTAATCCTAAGAGATGAAATTTTAAATATGAAGCATGCAATCATATTTTAAAAGATGTATTTATTTATTTAAAAATCAGAGTCTCAGAGAAAAGACGGAGAGAGGGAAATGGGGAGAGAGAGAGAGAGAGAGAGCGCGCAAAAGCGTGATAGAGAAAGAGAGAGAGGAAGAGAGGGAGAGAGATGTGTTGTCTGCTGGGTCACTCCCCAGTTGGCCACAATGGCCAGGGCTTGGACAATCTGAAGCTGGGAGTTTTATTCCATCTCCCATGTGGTAGCAAGAGCTCAAACACTTGGGCCATTCTCTGCTGAATTCCTCAGGCCTTTAACAGAGAGCTGGATAGGAAGAGGAGCAGCTGGGACACTGGCACCCTTATTGTATCTTTGCTTTGTGGGTGGTAGCTTTGCCTTTTATATAGTAACACTGGTCCAAACCTAGTTTTACAAAGGAGGAAACAGAGCTTTATGGAAATTAAGTCACTAAGTCAAGATTCAGAGTTAAATGTGGAGAAGCCTGGGTTGGAATTCACATGTCATGCTTTCTACAATGCTTCTTGGTAGAAATGAATGAGGGATTAATAATGACTAGAATAGCAAGAGAAGTCACATTGGATATGATGGTCTGCACTGTGATTTTTGGATTCCCCCAAAGGAGTGAATGAATTATATACAAGAATTTCAATTTGAGTAAAACTTCCAGGCTGACCCAAATCGCCTAGTCTGGCTTCCCTTCTTTTGGTGGTGGTAAAAATTATGTGTCAAAAAGTTTCACATATTCACCATTTGAAATGTACAATCCAGTGATGTTCTCTGTATTTTCTTTGTTGTGAAATAGGTCTCCAGTACTGTTTTAGTCATGCAAAGCTGAAACTCTGCGCTTACTAATCAACAGCCCAGTTCTCTTTTCACGCCCAGTCATCATCATTCTAGCCTCTATGATTTTAACTACTTAGATTCCTGATAGAAATACAGTCCTTTAGTGTTTCTCTTTTTGTGACTGGCTTATTTCACTTAGCATAATCTCACCAGAGTTCTTCTTGTGATAACATTTGGCAGGATTTTCTTCCTATTCTTTTTTTTTTTGTTTATGGCTTAATGATTTATTT